GCTTACCAAATCGAGAGGGGGCGTTCAAACACAAATATAAATGATACAGGACATCGCAATATGACTCTCCTTTAAAAAAATCATTTAGTAGATATGAAAGAAAATGTCTCATTCAAGGTTTCCGGGTGCGATTCATAACTTCATAACTCAAATCACCCAACATGTTTTGTTTGACAATAATTGTAACGGCTATTTGACTTGATAATATATATTTACTTTGAACAAAGGAACACAGCTTTGGTAAGTTGTAAAGGTACTGTTACATGTGCCTGATTAAATGAAATTGTGCTTGCATGAAATAACAGAATGCAGACCTGACTTATTTGGTAAAAAAATATTCACATAGGAAAGGCACTTAGAGAGAGCTCATGAAAATGGACATCAGATATTCCTTTCATAACTTGACGCCATCGAAACATGTGAAAATTATAATCGGCGAAGGATCACCATCCGAAAGAAAAAAATCGTAAACATGCTTAAATTTTCTTGTGAGATAAAGGACATTAAACAAATGAGACAATCACATCCACTCGAATTAAGTTTGAACTTTTGATCTATGAAGCCATTGTGATCATACAATATATTATTTCAGATAACTTGACGTATCGATTATTTTCCCAATCAATCATAAAATCTCTTCTGAATAATATATGAACCAAATACAGCACAAAGCTGATTTTTCACGATTCTTTGATCGTGTCATGATAAATTTGTCATGTTAATCATCTGATCAGTCAAACTAGGACATCTCAACCTATCTAATATGTATGAGAATGTTTCCCTACTTATCGCCATTGTTTCAGAAATATCACACTTAAAATAAGCTTTCAACTACGATGTAATGACCTTGAAGCAGCATGTGTCCTTTACAAATAGATCACAAATGTTGTCTCTGTTCCAGCGTGTTGTGGTATTGAACAGGTGAAACAATTTCCCAGTGACAGGTCAGACTTGACAATATATCAGGGTTAGTTGAGTAAGTATTTTTTGTAAACATCAGTTGACTCATAGAACACATCAGATATTTTTTCCCTTTGATAGCTTCAGTTATTTTCTAGTTTGTGGCTATACTATAGTTTTCTCAAGCCAGAACAATAAACTATCAGTCATGATATATTTTGTATATCCGGATGACCAGGATTGTGTAAACATCTTGATTTACAATACTCCAATTAATTAACAGGTGCCAAAATACAGGGCTGAATTATACTTTTGTATATTTGACATGACAATCAAATAAGGGGTTAGAGCAATTTCTTTGAGTCAATTATTATTTTTTAGCAATGATACTACGACTAATTGGCAAAACTTGATTATACAAAACTGTTCCAATATTAGCAATCATTACAAGGTAAAAACATTGGAGAAGAAACTTTGAGCAGTCAAGGACGGATCATGTTTTTTTCTAATCATTGCACCTTCGTTTCTTACAATTTTAGTTAAAGCATTTCTTTTTAGACCATTTCTTACTTACATGCAATACTGTTGTTGTCTCGAAATATTTCAAGAAAACATGTAATACGTTGCGGGAACAACCAATGGAAAATGTCGCACGCCCTTTCGGGCTCAAACTAACAACCTTTGGTCTTAATGCGGACACTTTGTCGCTTGATTGTAAGAAAAAATCAAATACCGAAAAATAGAGGTATGTCTCGCTTCCACGGACCAACAAATACATTAAATCATATTAGTGTGATAGACAATTCCTCTAGTCGCTGTAAAGTCAAACAAAACCATCTTAAATCGTAGTAAAATCTCGCGTATGCTCTGTATTTAATGTCTTCTGTTGTTGAAGCTAATAGGATGTACTTTTACACTGCATTCTTCTTCGCAAACCACATAAAATATCTCATTTTTCTTCTTGATGTTCTCCTGCCACTGGGTAAACATACATCTTAATCTTACAAGAAACATCTCAAATCTTTTTAGCGCAAATACATCAAATATAAAGACAGTAAATGGAACCAACTTCAATACACATGGGCAGATGCTTGTATTAATTACAATGAGTTTTCCCGTCGGATTGATTAAAAAGCGACAAGAAAACTTTACAAAATTTTCATCTTTCTCAAATCTTGTAAATCCGATGATAAGAAAGAAAACTATAACAAAACAAACAATTATATGGAGAACCCTTGAAAAAGGACGAAGAGAGTAAACCAAGGTGTTCCGGAAGGGTAAAGGTAATGTGCTTCATTGACCGCCATAAGAATACTTGTCAGCTCAAATTAGTAATGTCACATCGTTCTTCAGTTAGAAGTTTAACAACACTGAAACCGCCAGGTATGCTAACGAACATCGGACACATTTTACTGGACAGCACAATATAAAATAAAATATTTTCCAATGAGATCATGATGATTAACATAAAATGTACTATTAATCTTTATCAACATTCACCTCTGAAACCCTGTATTATAAGTTTATCTGTCAGCCTTCCATATCTTTCACAGAATTCTTACTATTGGGAACAAGCATCTAGATATCGAACTAACTGAAGGTTAAAGAAGCAGGATTGTTATTATCTAGAAATGGAAAGTTCACCGACATCATACATCTTATTGGAAATCGATATCAATATTCTGGTTGAGGTTCTTTTTGACAAGAATACATATCTTGTCATGATCGGTACTCCAATATCATCGTTGTTATTCTGGCTAAGTCTGAGAGCAGTCGTCAGATATAGAATAGCAATACAATAAGGGTCTCTGTTCGCTTGATACACCATAATGCTGTTTTGTTCTAGTTTCGCAGTAAACGTTGGATTGTGAAATGTCAACGGTGGGATTCTATGTATATCTGTTCACCGGAATGATATTTATAGAAAACGTATATGAAAAAGAGTAGCGCATGCAGCAGAGGTATAATAAATATTACAATGATTACATAACGACAACACGACGGTAACGAAACATTGCTTTTATACAATTAGTATTCATTTTAATTTGAATACCAATTACACACTAGGACAAGAAAACTAATCTGGAGCATCTTTACACAAAATAGTTTCTTTTCAATTAACACATCTCATTTCATGTTTTGAAAGTTATTCAAGTCTATCCGCTATATTTGTAGAAATAAGTATCCAATATATAGATCTTTCAACATGAGCCGGCTAAATGCTTTTCAGAAGTTTGAAGACTTTTGTAATATCAATATCAAACAAATTTTCTTCATTGTTGTATCTGATCTGAGCTTTCAACTAATCTGAAAGTAACAGCTGGAGTAAAAACTGACAGCTATTTCACACAATTAAACGCGAATTATGTAAGCCGTTCTTTACGACCTGGATATGGGCACGACTCCTCTAACTTGTGTACGATTTTGCGCTTCCACAAGAAGAAGACTTCTGTTCCTGACTAACCAGGATGAACAATATGATTATTTTGTGCTTACGAGACAAAATGCTTGTTTATGACATATACTCAAGGTCAAATATGTTACCTTGTGCGAAAAACATTGTTATTTCTTATCCACAAGATAACCATAACACGGATGTCCCCCTAGGGATTCCGTAGTATGTTTTAGAGATACTGGTAAATATGCACTTAACATCACTACGTCATAAAAAGTAGAATAAGAAGACGGAGTGTAGAGGTGTAGTATCTAAATGTACAATGCACTACCCTGACCACAAGGGACAAGGTCTTGTGTTGTTCAAAGCGTCAGAGTTTACTTTGTCTGTTGGGCGAATTCCAGTCACACCTGTAGGATTAGGCCTTTGCCCATTATCACAGTTTGAAGGTCGCAGTCACGATAATTTATTAACAGTATTGCAACTTAAATGGAAGTTCCTACTTGTGGAAGACTGAATTTTAGCTTCATTTGTTTATCGGGTGCCATAGTGCATTAGATAATTTGGTTGTCATCGTTACAAATGTTCGGAGGATACGTGCTGATATGAGTACTCCTTTGTTCCAAGAGTAGATTTTACACTTACACTTACCTATAAATATCATTAAGTTGATTTCTAAAAAATAGGTTATTCGCTCAATTTCGTCAACAATACAATATTGATTTAGCAAAAGATATCAAAATGATATAAGACACTTTCAAATGACAAAGCGTATATGCCATGTTATTTATTTGTAATAAAAACAAAATGCAATGCCAGTTTCGGTTATATCAATTCAATTTGCAGCCTGCAAGTATTACATGCAATAATGGTTTTAAAAAATGTTGTTAAACAACACCAGTTATGGCAGATAACACAGAAGAGGTCGATGTTGCCTACCAAGCCACAATAGACATGCTCTCGAAATCCTTACAGAGAAATGTGTTTCGAATTTGTTCGGATATATTATACTTTGTTTGATTAAACGTGCCTTACAATTGCAGCGCGTGTAAACTGAGTGCAAACTTATAGGATCAGTGGACAAAGATAATGCACCAATGCACACCACAAAATGCGGAGAGAAAAGGTTGGATATTCCAATTACAGATGCCGATCAAAAGTAAACGGTTCCAAAGTAATTCTTACACATTAAATTCGTTAGACGATTAAACGGCTAATAGAGATTGACTAATGTATTTTACAACAATGTCCGCAACTTTTAGATCCAGTTTAAGCAATTTCTCTACATTTAAGGAATAAATGAAGTACATTTTGTTTAATTGTATGAAACTATTATTGAATTATGTCGAGATTTCTAAACTTAATTTTGAGGAAGATTATATTAGATTATGCCGAGTGTTCGACGAATCACAATTTGTATAAAGGCTTTAATAGTGAAATGGCCATCATCGATATTCTAATGGGATATACTATCTGTATGTAAAGGATGATCACACCGATTTCCAAATTCATTAAAAAAATTTCATGCAAATGCTTGGTTATTTTTATCCGCTGAAGGTTTATAGGTTACAAGACTATGTAAGAATGGATATGAATAGATGTCAACATGTATATGTTTGTGCTTACGCATATCTACTTATCACACATGTACCCAGTCCTCTATAATATGCCCCCATGCCTTAGAAGCGCTCATCAACCACTGCAGTACTGAGAACGACATCAATAGTAAGTGACGGCAGAAAAGGTGGAGAGGTTCGCACGTGTGTGAATCCGCAGTACCACTCATTGACAGATAATCGTAGCAACATCATCTCCCCGTGCTGTACATATCGTATACGAACAAACGGACGAACATCTGGCCCCAGGCGACCATTGTTTACACCACTGGGCCAACAAGCCACTGTTATATTGTGACCCAGGATTATCTCATACACTTCCTTCCTTCTGGTAAGTACGCTGTGACTGATCATCGTTCTCATAAGTCGTCGTGTTTTGTAGCTCCGTCATGTTGTGCCTGTGTTAGCTCGCATGGATCAGACTATTCTGTAGACGATCGTTAATAAAACAGAAGTTGTATGGTTGAAATACTTAGATAAATCGCCAGTGTCTTAGAAGTGCCGATGTTAATACAAGGCATAGGTGCATAGTACCGTGGTATTGGTAGTTATTGGTTTATATATAGAAACATGGCTAGCCACGAGTTAAGACATCGTCCGCTTGTTTTGATACTGACTTTGTCAAACTTAATATGATAACCGAATGTGGTAAATAAATTAGTTATAATCAAACAATCCAACATCAATTCACGGATTATCAAGTTCACAATACTGAAAAATATACAAAATGATAGCATAACATTCCTGTTGGACAAAAGTCGACAGTATTATAAACAGGATGCTAACAAAGGCGATGAAAAGGAAACGTGAACTCAACATCTGCAGAACAGAGTGATGAAAACAGGTATACATCCACTCAGTTACCGTAGATAGCTATACTCGTTAGGCCCTGTACTCTCACTCAGGTATCGGAGATAGCTATACTCGTTAGGCCCTGTACTATCACTCAGGTATCGGAGATAACTATATTCGTTAGGCCCTGTACTCTCACCCAGGTATCGGAGATAGTGCAACTTCATATATTACACTTAAAAGTATAATGACACCTACACATCCCCGAACCAACATTACTGACACACATTCATCTACAAGAAAAAATAGAATATATTCAAGAAAACAGCTTTTTTCAGGATTTTATAAACCAGGAATAAACCTTTGAGGTTCATTTTGACTCTATCACAGCAGAGAAGACAAGAGTGTTCTTGAATAAAAGTTTATACTATTAAGATATTTACAATATAATGGGATGAAAAAGTATTCAGTAATCTATAACATAAGGACATTATTTGCAGTATTTGTACATTGTCAGTATCAGGACAACTTAGATATTTACACGATTAAGATATCAGCGGTATTAGGACATTTATGGTATTAAAAATGCAGTTCATCGACACCATAAGGAAAATTATGACATCGACAATTTAATGATATCAACAGTAATGGAAAAATTAAACCGATACATTAGAACATGCGACAAAATCAAAGTGTTCGATGATGATTATGTTGCCATGGTGATATATATATTTTTTGGTTTATTGCTGTGTTAAATGACTTGGTTTGTTATTTCTTAATATCTATCCCTTTTGTCAGTAAAATTCATCTTCATCGCATACTCCAGGCAAGAAATGAACTGGCACATTATATTTTGTTTAAAGGTGTAAAAGTTGTATTTTGGTGTCAAACAGGTATATGATCTGCTTTGACTTGTAGCACGGTGAAATTGGCCGTTGTTACGGTACAATCCTGTATATTACCAATATACAATCAGAATTGTACAACGGTTTCGTATGACTTGTGTCACATATCCAAGAGCTTGACTGTGGATATTAATTCTGGTTCATGACCGCTTTTCTGTTAATTGCCAATAACACAACAAAGTTATTTGTACTTAAATCCACAATTTGACGTAATAGGCCTTCCGTTTATGTATGTTGTTGGAAATTCTTGTCCGTTAGTGGTCATTAGACCCGGGTAGAGTAAATGAGGAACAAAGCAAGATTATTGACCCGTACGAACACTTGTTATTACCAACGGACTCAGACTTTGACCAGTCATCGATTTCACAGGAAATCGTTGAAAAACTACGACACGATAACCTCATTCAACCAACGGACTTTACATTAAACACTTATTACATAACGCACTGGAAATTAAACAGTCTGATATTGGCTCCTGGTGAAAAGATATATTAACGTCCAGAAAACTCATCTAACAATTCCCACACTAACAGTAAAATTACTTCTAATGGGAATGGAATTATATTTTCCTCACTGCGTTATTCTTTCCAAATTGATTCTCGAAATAATTTTCAAACTCGAATTTGAAATTTCCATTTTTCGTTTTTTATATATATTGATTCGTGATTAAGAGTCCTCACCGCGGTGAATTTCTGGAACACCTGGTCTTAGTCTCGTTGTAGTTTTTTCAGGAGTCTCTGTGTGAATGTTCCGTTCATTTTGCTCTAGTTTTATTGTATTTGAGGTTGGAATATGTTATGTTGACTTGTTGGTATTTTCATGTTGTTTTTATATACTTGTATAATGTTTACCGCGTTTTAGAGTTTAGATTCTAATGATATATTGATATAAACCTAGAGGCTAAATTGTTTTGTTTGTCGTGAAATCGCCAAATTAGAAAATATTTGGCATTGTAAGTTTGCCTTCTTGGACACATGGGATTCCGGTGGTTCAAAGACAGTCGTTAGATTGTATATAATTCACAACACAACTTACCTTATTGAATCAGAGTTTTCTGAAAGGCTGGGTTGGCAACAATATAATTGTGTAAATTCAGTTAGACACTACGGATAGCAAAAGAAAAAAAACATTGTTGCATGTTTTAACGATACAGGTGATATTTGATTAGACTGAAAGTACAGAACAATTCTGGGTGGAATCGTCAAAGAGAGAAAGTATATCGTAAGGCCGTAATGACATCAAATATCCGTCTGGATAATATTTGGTACAGCAGCAAACATCTCTAAACGCCAAAAATAAACACAGAAATAAACTTATCTAAAGCAGTGTCACAACTATGTTAGGTATTGATATGAGAATCTTTAGAACTCCACATAGTTAAGCATCATTGCGATAAGCGAAATATCAAAATAAAAAATGGAAGTGTTCGGCTTGTTTTTATTAGAGATTCATTGATAAAAAAGTTTAGAAATGTCTCTTCGCTTGGAAATGTCACATATTGAAAGGTAACTTGTTATACGGAAACGTTTTATTGCTTAATCTGAAAAAAAAGGTTCTTCATGAAGTTACTTCTAACAAAAAAGGCAAGAAAATACCAACACATGAACACAATCGTAAACTAAAATTCAATTAAAATAGGTCAAAATATGAATAAGATAAAGATTTACACGTAGAATCCTGTAAAGTACAAGGGTATTAACATAAGCTTTTCTGAAAGAGCAGGCGTCTTCTGATTCATTGATGACACCCACCATGTAAATCTTGGTCAATTCCAGTATGTAATGTCATGTTCTCATATGAGAACAATGCATACAAGAACGAAAGCAACAGGCAAGGTAATGAGTATTAAAAATGTCCGACTTCATATCGCTCAAAGAATATGATATTTCTCGATGATATCATTATGACGAGCGTAAGATTTTCCCAAAATTTACATCAATCTGCATCTTTTGAAACCTTGTGTCACGTGCTTGTTTGTCAGTTTACGACATCTTGCACGAAAATCGTGATAAAACAACATTCATTGATTCCAGAAAGAGAGTATTTTAGTAAAATCGATGGACTATTTGGAGCACAGGCCAGTTCACAAAGTGAGAGGTACACTAGAAATACTGGGTATTTCAGTCTAGTTTGTATGACTTTTACCACTAGGCATCTACAGGTTACAGACACATTATTGAAATGGGAACATTTGAATAAAGGGTACGATGAAGGTAAAAATTAGAACTACGCCAACAACATGACCATTTTCTATATCTCAATGCTTTACGTTAATCTACGATAGTTCTTTCATATCTATAGTTCTGATAGATCCCCAGCTTCACTTATAGATATACATATATTTGACCCATGCTTTAAATCATATTGTAATGTATGTCGTTTTTGTCAAAATATCAAATTATTCAACGTTACTCTGAAGCTTGATCTTATGGTACATTTTTGTAAAGAGTGAATGTGACATTGATTTTATATAAAATGAAATATTCAGTCATGGTAGATCGTATAGTATATCTGATAAGGTAACCGGGGAACTCTTTTATCATTTGTTTGCCGAGTGCTTAAGCCTAGTGGTGAAAGGTATTCATTGGATCAGATTCAGGACGTGTAAAGTGGTTGATGATTCTCATTGTACGTGACAAATTATGTGTATCAGATCGGGAGATCTATGTATGCTCGCTTTTGACCTAATGTTCGTTCCCTCTTTGACAGTAGCAGGAGTCATACACTATATCGACGGGGTAGTTATCATTATTTTGATTATAATATTGTGTGTGTTCTTTGACACTTAAAGGTAACCTTGTCTCCTTTGACACGAATACAGAAAACAATTTACAGGAGGCCAGATGCCAGCTGACATCTGTAAGACAAAAGAAAAAAATGTTTACTACAGCAAAACACAGGGAGATCATTTTCTTCTGTGTTGCCTTTTGGAATTGTTTGATTCTAATTATTTGGTACCTGAAGTTGCATGTGGTTACCTGATAAAACTATCAGTCATCGTGTTCTTTAACCAGTCAATAGACAACAGACGTAAACTACAAGGACTTCACAACAATTCCTCGTTTAGTTTCATCGTCAAGAACGCTTTTACAATGACAACAAAAGGGGAGATGGGTGTGGGGTTATCACACGACGACCAATAAAATATGCACAAAAGTACATCTTCATTCGAACAGTGGGGACTGTAATATTTGCTAAAGGGTTTTTTTCAGATATCTATTTCGAGTTGGAATATATAAAAGGAGATCCGGGCTGGGTTTTGCCAATATATAATTCTATGTGATAGATAGAATTCAAAAGCACGTCTAGTCCTTATTTTCCGCCGAACTCATTTCTTCCCTGAGTATGTTAACAATATTGAGGAGTTTAAACGTCATACGTTTCGGGAGTCTCAATGTGTATCTTTAATTTGTTCATATCTTGCACTAACTTCATCAAGTTTTGATAAATATTACGTTGATATGTCGGTATTTTCTTTGCTGTTTTTTGTAATGCCCTGTATTGATCACATAAATATTATGCACTTGTATCAACTGTGATTTTGTCTATTGCTGTAAACACTATCATATAACATTTTCCTGGTAACATTTGTATTTTCTGGCAGCCACTACTTTCCAGTACAACCACTAATGCT